AGAAACAAAATTTTAATAATCTAGTAATGAAAGGACAATTAAAAGTGCCTATTATAATATTTATTCTCTGTTATGTAAATTGTATTATTTTTAAGTTTAAAAAATATTTATTCGATTTCAAACTTTTATGGATCCAAGATTATCTCAACATTACAATTCGTAAAATATTATATTATCGATCTTATTTAAAATTATATCTCTGGATTAAAATTTAAAGATAATTTTGAATAAAATTATTCTCTTTATACTTATATGTTGATAAATTCTTTAAAATTTCGTTATATACTGTATGATTAAATTTTTTGTATTTGTGGACAAATACACATATTTTTTATATGTTTAACTGTCTGACTTACCTTATATTAACAGTATGTTAACTGCACACACACAAAAGTATATTGTTAAAAATAACCGCAACAAATTAATACTAGCAGCACGCAATGTTGAAAGAATATAATATATTCACACCACACTTTATTAAAAGTATTATATCTACCACGACGTGATTCGAAAGACCACGGAAGACTGACTGATTCTCTGTAGGTGTCATCATGATAAATATGATGTGTAGGTCAACAAAACAAGGATGAACAAAACGAATGTAGTATACAGACTAGAATGTAATGATTGTGACGCGTCGTATATAGGACAAACAAAAAAGACATTTGATTACTAGAGTAAAAGAACATCAGAATACAATGATAACTTGCTAAATATTACGTAGGCCATGTGAAACGAGAATTATAAAAATTATTTTAAACTTGGAAAAATTTTAATTTAAAAAAACCAATTACAATACAAAACTCTAATATTCTTAATTACAAACGTTTTCGAACTATACTTAGTCTTCTTTAGTGCGCAATAAAACAATAATAGAAAAAATTCTAATAAAAAGTCGCAATACAATAGTCAAAATAAATTAGATAATTATGTCAAAATTAAAAGGCGAAATACGTTAACAATAAATTGAAATAATTAAAAATAGTTCAACACGAAAAGTCCCAGTTAGAAGCAAAAATCGAATTAAAATAATTCATCCGGTTATATATATAATCCATAAATATTTTAAAATTATTAAAATCTCGGAGTGGCACTTAAATATTCGTCCAAACCAATCACTCATCGTTAGTCGACGAAAGGCTATCAGTCTGGCAATGATCGTGTCCATCTCCTCCAAGTTATTTAATATTTGTTATTATAAACTGAATTTAAAAAGAAATTTATATTATAAAATAGAAATCCACTTATGTATATGTAAAAAATAAAAATTAAAAATTAATTACTTGTTGCTTACAATTGTTCCGAATAAATTGAGATGACATTGCCTCTGATTGTTGTTGAACTTAGTACTTGACTGATGTCAAGTCAGTTAACATCAGAATAATATAAAAAGACATGAAACAAGCCACTCGGTGGTCAGCAAACATAGAACCGAATGCAATCATGACTTCCGATGGCTTGAGCCATGTATTTTACATACCGAGAAAAATAGACGAAAAAGAGAGATCGCTGAAATGTTCTACATAAAAAGACAAACAAATAAAATTGAAACATAGAGTCGAAACATAGTGTGTACTCATTTTCAATAAATGAATAGTCAGTTTTTGGTCGAATTAAATTGCATCTTATTATTTGTTAACATTTTTATTATTTATTTCAAAAAACATTTTCACAATAAATATTGTGTAATTTCTTGTCATATACTCATCTTTCGATAATTTTATCTTAATAATTTTCTGCACTAAATAGTAATATAATTCAATTAGTATAAACAAGTCATTATTTAAGAAAAATGTATGTAGTTGCATATTGCTATAAATTGCAATTTTTTTAAATCACTGGAGTGTTTTTCTAATACCAATCAAATTATCCACATTATTTTGTGCAAAATTTATTAAGATAAAATAATATCGAAAAGTAAATTTCAAGATGTTTCATATTTTTGTCAGAATAGAACATAAAACGTTTAAAAAAATTATGATAACTATAAAATCTCAAAAATGCCTCCATCTGAAATAAGACCATATACTAAAATCGTAAATATTATAATCGATTACTTATTAATCGCGATATGTATTATTTTTTCTATCCATTTTTTTCTAATTTTAAAATTTCAATATTTTGATTATTTATTATCATCTACTCTATGTGCAAAATTATATAAAGATTTATAACTGATAAAATTAGTATCTCCATATAACATTGCTTTAAAAAGATAATACAATATATTTTTGAAGATCTGTTTTACATTTTTTTAATTATATATGTACTAAATAATCAAACTGTGAGAATAAAGATATAGATCTACAATAAAGAATACAATTTTGAATATAAATCGTGACTTTCCGATGAATTATCGCGAAATGTCAAACCATATGTGTCAACAATTGTTGCGAAATTATATAACAAATTTCTTTGAAAAATTGAAATATTCTATAATTGATAATAATTATATAATAATTATTATAATTTTATCTTTTGTACATATATTATATTATACATATAAAAGGTCTCTAAAAATTTTATACAAACTCTCTGAAGAAGCAATAATATTTTATTGTATTTAAATAAAATATTTATCTCAATACTCATCCTTTATAATAAAAATCATTTAATTAAAACTAATAGAATACCCAACCGAATAGTTCTGAAAAAGAATAAAAATTTTTGAAGAACCGCACAATGTATTATCGAAATATAAGACAGAGTAAATAAATATCGAAAGTACAACATGTTTAATTAACTCGAACATAACGGAGAACACATGCAGCTATTCTTTTGTAAGTAAAGAATGAGAGAATATTTTCTCTATTTATAGTATAATCTGCTTATTCACCACAATACTCACATTGGCGCGCAATCTTATAGGTACAACTGTTCTGTTTGATAAGAACTTTCGATCAGCATCCGCAATAAATGCAGAATGATCACGACGGCGTCAGGAATTTAGTTGGCGATGTGAGCAGCCACCACTTTCTTTAAAGAGTATCAACGAAAAAAGACACCTGCAAAAGATCCTACACGTGCAAATCCTTCAATCGACAAGAGTTTCTGCATATACATTGGTTCTATAATGTTCAAGTTTTGTCGCAACATTGCGACCTGTCCGGCCGAGGTTTCCGCAAGAAGATGACAAGCATGTGTCCTAGCATTCCACCCGGAAGCCTGTGATAGCTTTGAGAAGCGTTCCACAGCAAAAGTTGCATTATTCATCATCTCGTGCACAATAATCAACGGTTGCATATTTGTTCAATTAAGAGTGTCAGATGCACTTAAATAGTTTCTACTATTACCAATTAATATATTCGTCCACCACAGATAGCACAGAATCCATTTCGATTATGCTGTAACATTATTTTGATCAGTGTGTGATATTAATTAGAATTGTGAAATAAATAATAACAGTTGTATTTATTCACATATTTATGCGAATTTTTTGACTAGTAAAAGCATAATTATTTTTAAACGCGTTGTCCCATTTTCTAATCAAGTTTATCTAATTATTTAGATTTTACTGTCGTGATTTACATGTCATTAGATATTGACACTTCTTCTTAAACAATGTTTATTATCGAACAGATGATTATTTGATTCATGTTCTTCCATATTTTTGGACGCGTTCTCTTATTCTTTATAAGTTTTAGTACCAAAAAAAGATAATTAATTTTTGGAAATTTCGAAGTTTTCATTTAGATAATAAAACTTTAGTATATGATTCTTTTCAGTCGTTCTTATTTTCAAACTATGACGATTTCATTAATGTATATCGAATTATTTAAATACGCGCTGTTCATTTTATTATGTCTTAATCACTTGCGGCCATAATTAAATATTTCTTGTAATCATATAATTTACTGCTATAACTAACATTTTGTCATGTTTTTTGCAATTTTTGCACTATTAAAATATATATAAACAATGTATTTTTGCCTGATTCTAAAGTATTAAAAGTCGACGCTATGTTTTCGTAGACGACACTCCTAGTTATTATATTAAACGAAAAAATTTGTAAGTTGGAATGTTTTGATGTAAAATTAATCTGCAGATAATGTACTATCTAAATATTAAAATAAAATATATTTGACTACTTTTATATCGTATTATAAATCGATAATTGATATTTTGTCATTTCTTATCATGATCTTTTCTCTAAAATACCTTGTGTTTGTATAAATAACAAATAATTTGTTCATTATATATTTACAACGTTTGTTCAATTTCTATAAAAAAATCCATATGTGCAATATATACATATATTTCGAAAGTTTCCGACAAAGAAACAATTTTCTACGCGTGCATGACAAATCTCAATAATTATTTTTGTTCAAAATACAGTCTTACTCATGATTTACGCTTACAATTCAGATAAGAGCAGGGACTGAAAATATTGTCGTATTTCGATGTTCTATGCGCGTTAAAATGTGCATCTTTCATTAGCGACTATATATGCAACTATCGTTTTTATATTAATTATGAATTAAAACTGATATTGTATTATTAATTCTGACAAGCAATTTCAACGTAAGAACAATTTTTACAATCTCTTCTTCTGATAAAAGAGATATAATTATTGCTGGCTAATCATAAAACATTCAAATTTATAAACTGGCCCGGCTGCTGCGAAGTAACTCTCATGAAAACACACACATATATATAAACAGTATTTAATGTTTATTTGGGAATACGTCCCGATAAGACATATATTAAATTTATACACAGTACAGACCAGTAAAGTTCGTATTAGTAAAATCAAAGGCGATTATACATACACGCTTTAACGTCGTTCCGTTGAAAAGAAACGAAATTAATAGGAATTACAAAATAAATACTTGTCACGATTATCTTTTAACAATAAGTATCTGTGCACATTTCTGATTCAAAACAGCAAAATCTAAACACATTTTAATAAAATCTTCAAGTGAAAGAGGTAACAAAGAAAATCTAGAGTTAAGCGAGTTATACGAACAAAAAATCAGCAGGTACGTACAAATAAGACACAGATTAAAAAGAATCCTGTGAGAAAAGATAAATTATGCAGAAATTATCTGTATTACATATATTTTTTGCTATATATATATATTATATATATATATATATATATATATATATATATATAGTAATATTTTTAAAATTTTTCCACAATTTTGATTAAAACAATAAAGTAAAAAGTACACTTTGTCTTAAATATTATCAAGAAAATAATACATATAATGCGACAATATTCTGTTTAATATTTTATAATCTTTGAAAATTGACAATATCAAATATCGCTGAATAATTTGTTAAATAAAAATAGTAAATAGCTAATCAAGGAATAACCGTAAATTATTCAAAAAATAATTTAAAAATTATTAGAAAAATATAAACAAACAAATAGGTCGAACACATTATTATATCTTCGAGGTCTTAATTGTTTTGAAGTATATCTTGCATTGTCATGTGTTAGTGACATAAATATATATATAAAGAATTTCCAGTGATATAAAAATCAGTAATTATAATATATTAGTGTATTAAAATTCACAAAATTAAGAATTTGATTTTCTCTACGCCTGTATTTGTTTGTTCATATAAATGAGTCTTTTAATAGATATATAATTTCAAATAATAAAGTACATGAGTAAAGATACATGATTATAAACGGTTTTTCGTCATTTCTTGCTTTTTGTTTATTTTTATAATAAATAAATATTTTTTCTATTTCTTTTCTTTATAAATACAACAATTAGAAATTTATTTTATTTCAAAAAGAGACTCAGATCGATAAACTAAAATTTTTATATTTAGAACGAAAATATTTTACATAATACATAATGTTTTCCATTAATTTTATGATTATTTATTATATTGTAAATAATACATTAAAAGATGCCGGTAGATAAAAACGTTATTCGACCACATTATTCAACAAAAGAAAAATTCCTTTAAGAATTTTAACTTTAGTATTTAGAGAAAGTAAAACATATATGTAGTTTACTACTTAAATACTTATTATAAATTATTAAAATTATGTTTTTTAAATTCTCAAACATGACTAGTTTGACGATTTATTTGTTTTTCTGTCCCGTTTTTAACTACATTAATATAAATATGTATTTCTAAATTAATCAAATTATTTAGTATTTTTATATGTTAACAAGCCATTACTAAGCTAACGTTCAAATGTAATTTGATATTGATTCATCACTAATTTCTACGTGATAACAATTATATTGTAAATTGGTCTTTTATTTATTTAACTAATTTTTACTTATAACATTCATCTGTGTCTGTTCTGATAACAAATGATTTTTGTATCACTATTTTTGTTTCTTTCTTTTTTCTACTAATATATGAATCTTAATTTTTAACTCAGTAATTGATATATAGAATCAAAAAGTTTACTTTTATATTTATATCATTTTGGCATTATTAAATTCCTCTTTTTCGATTACAATTATTTTATATTATTAATTATTTTGGCATTTTAATAGTCTTTTTTTTATAAGAAATAATGAAAAAGGAGGTGCGAGGTGCCGTTTTTAAAAGTTTACCTAGCAGCAAATTTTATATTTATTTCATCAAAACATTTTTTTTTAATAAATAAGAAATACATTTTTTTACAATATAATTGTTTTTATAAAACATAAACACCTATATCTTTGAAAATTATTTCTATGTGTAATACGTATAACTATTATTCATAAAAATTTATTCTAAATGTATAATTGTATATGTGAAAAATTTATCAAATAACGAAAATAAACAGTAAATTTAATATTATGACAATATGAATGTTTGTCTTTGATAGCATATTATCTTATTTTATGTTCAATTTGTATAATATTTATTATTTAATAATAATTGATACAACGTCATACATTACATTGTTGTAATGAAGCTTTGCATTAAAAAGATTGTTCAATAATACATATATAATTGTATCTTACTTTTTAATTTTAGATTTCATGTTAACCACGATTAAACAATTGACCATAATTGCTCTAGAGTGTTGCAATATACTCGCCGGAAAGCACAGTAATCAAATAAATTTATAAATAATATTCTCAAAATAAATTTGTTGGAAAAAAAGAAAGTCACAAGCAGGACGGAGGTGCCGATCCCTCCAGACAAATGGATTCCGATCCAACTGGACTGCCGACAAATTATAAATGCCATCTCTGTGGAAAGACATTCTATTTTAAAGGCATTTTTGAAAATCATTTATTGTCCCACGGCACCGGATCAGAGCGTAAGAGAAAGTATTGTAATATATACATTATTGTATATTCTTGTTCTAATAATATGCAAATAACGGAAGATTTAATTACAACGACAATTCTATAAATAATTGAACAGCGCAACGATTATAAGAAGAGAACATGATTTTATTATAAAACATAAAACCGCCAGACATGTATTAGCATTGTAGAAAATTAACATGTTAGACAATACTAAAAATATGTATTCATTATTTTATATTAGTGCTAATTTATTTCTACTTTTATTTGTGTGTAGTTCCTTTGTATTATAAAACTTCTCAAGAAAAACAAAAAAGTCAAAATAATGTCAATTTTACGTCATATTGACTAAAAATGACTTTTTATACTGACTTTCTTACCTGTTTAAGTTTTAGAAAATGTGACATATGTTTCTCGATTGTGTAGATACAATGCTTATTATTATGAAGATAATTAAAGATTAACGTTTTTCATATTCAGATATCATTGTAATTCGCAGAAAAGTTGAATGATTGTACACAGAGAAAAAAATGTTGATTCAATTGAACGTCGACGTCACGGGCTGCCACAAAAATATGCCAGTTGATTCATCCGTATTATGTTAATTCAATGACATAATTAATCAAATCGAGATGTCATGCATTTGTTTACACTGCATACGTGTAAACAAAAATGTGTTTCTGGCAGCGTGTGACGTCGACGTTTATTGAATCAACAACATTTTTTTCTCAGTTTATTAAAAATTATATTATTAACTAAAATATTATTTTAAGCAGCTCACTTCTTAAATTTGTATCTCAATTATTATTAATACAAAATAATAATTTTTTTAGATGATAAGCAAGAGGAACGTCCCGGTCCCTCCAGACAAATGGCTTCCGGTTCAATTGGAGATAATATGCAAGACGAAAGTGTCGGTCCCTCCAGACAAATGGATTCCGATCCAACTGAACAGCCGGACAAGTATGTATGCAATCTCTGGTTTAGACTATTCTGTTCTTTGGACGTGCTTCATAATCATTTAAAGGTCCACATGAATTATCTTTGCAACCATTGCGACCTATAATATTCATTTGTAAATCCCATTTCAATGCACATACGCGTTCGACACGTAATGTTAATCTTTTCAAGTGTGATATATGCAATTCAACTTTTTATGATCTCTTCGACTTTGAATGGCACAAAAAAAAACACCATAGTGTAGGCAAAAAATCCCTAACAACGGAGGAACAGAAGTACGAGTTGAAGCGTAAGCAAAGGAAGCTCCGATGCGACAACTCTGACGCGGACTCGAAAGGTTTGTCTCGGCTACTTTAATTTTCTGTGTAAAATTGGCTACAAAATGAGTGGTTTTTGTAATATATACATTATTATATATTCTTGTTCTAATAATATGCAAATGACGAAAGATTTAATTACAACGTCAATTCTTTAAATAATTGAACAGCGCAGCGATTATAGGAAGAGAACATGATTTTATTATAAAACATAAAACCGCTAGACATGTATTAGCATTGTAGAAAATTGACATGTTAGACAATACTAAAAATATGTATTTATTTTTTTATATCATTGCTAAGTTTTTTTTCACTTTTATTTGGGTGTGATTCCTTTATATTATAAAACTTTCCAAGAAGAACAAAACAGTCAAAATGATATCAATTTTATGTCATATTGACTATATTTATGTCATTTTTTTAGTCATGAAAATCTCGATCTCGAAGATGACTAAAAAATGACTTTTTATACTGGCTTCCTTACCTGTTTAAATTTTAGAAAATGTGACGTACGTTTTTCGACTGTGTAGATGCAATGCATATTATTATGAAGATAATTTAAGGTTATCGTTTTTTATATTCAGATATATTATTGTAGTTCGCAGAAGAGTTGAGTAATTTTTTAAAAATTAAATTGTTGATTAAAATATTATTTAAAGCAGCTTACTTCTTAAATTTGCATTTTTATTATTTTTAATACAAAATAATAATTTTTTTAGATAATAAGCATTACAAGTGTGATAAATGTGGGAAATTATTAGCAAAATTATACAACCTTAAAAGGCACAAAAGGACAGTTCATAATAATGGCAAAGAAGACGCGGACTCGAAAGGTTTGTCTCAGCAACTTTAATTTTCTGTGTATAATTGGCTACCAAATAAATAGTTTTTGTAATATATACATTATTAAATATTCTTGTTCTAATAATATGCAAATGACGGAAAATTTAATTACAACGACAACTCTTTAAATAATTGAACAGCGCAGCGATTGTAGGAAGAGAACATGATTTTATTATAAAACATAAAACCGCTAGACATGTATTAGCATTGTAGAAAATTGACATGTTAGACAATACTAAAAATATGTATTTATTTTTTTATATCATTGCTAAGTTTTTTTTCACTTTTATTTGGGTGTGATTCCTTTATATTATAAAACTTTCCAAGAAGAACAAAACAGTCAAAATGATATCAATTTTATGTCATATTGACTATATTTATGTCATTTTTTTAGTCATGAAAATCTCGATCTCGAAGATGACTAAAAAATGACTTTTTATACTGACTTTCTTACCTGTTTAAGTTTTAGAAAACGTGACATACGTTTCTCGATTGTATAGATACAATGCTTATTATTATGAAGATAATTAAAGATTAACGTTTTTCATATTCAGATATCATTGTAGTTGGCAGAAGAGTTGAGTGATCGTACACAGAGAAAAAATGTTGTTGATTCAATTGAACGTCGACGTCACAAGC